TTACCTTACTTTTACTTTAGTTACTTACTACCTAACGTACCTAACGTTTAACGGTACGTACGTAGAGTACTAGTATAGTACTACCTACGTACTACGAACTAACCTACTACTATTAGTATATATATATATATATATATATATATATATATATAGCCTCCATTCTTCAAAAATATGAGAATTTAATAAAAATATAAAAACAATATTTCGTAAAATATAAATTGACCAAAATACTTCCAAAATATTTTGGGGGTATTTTGTTCAATTTATATTTTGTGAATTATTTTTTTATTAGGTATGCTTTGATGAAAAGAATGAACATCTAAACTTTCAAGTGATTTTGATTTGTAGAAAAAAAATAAAAATTCAAATATAAAATGTGGTTGTGATCATCAGATCTGCCCAAATTGAATCTGGGCCATTTGACTGATACTGTAGCAGTCAGTCCGTAGGCTAACAAAATCTGTCAAAGTCCGAGTACCTTAGTCGAATAGATTTTTTGAACCTTGAAATAAGAAGAGCAAAACAAATAAGAATACCTTCCATGGCTAGAGCAAGAGTGACATAGCCACTGTGAGTGGCAGGAAATGGGATTCCTTGTTCAATCTCAACACACCTTTATGGTATATACATGTGTAGGATGAGGAACCATGGCGTATGAATCCTTGTTATTCCATCTCTTTCCTCCATACATTTATATACTGGATATGATCCGGCAATTATCAACTTTTACGCTTTTGGGTTTTGCCCTTCACTTATTTATCTAGTTTTTTGTTTCTACATGTGGTAAGGAAAGTGACAAGGAGATGCCGTGGTAAGTCATGTAGCATCACCCTACTAAATGTGGGGATACACTTGAACCTCCTTGTCCTGAATTCCAAACAAGACCACGTGATGACTTTAGGTTTTCATGTATATTGGGATATTTTTTTTTATAGAAATTCCGATATTATATTAAAACTAAAACGAGATTCTGTCTCAAATAAAAAAGTACTCTTTTTGGCATGGAAATCAACCAACACATTGGCTTCCTGATAAACATACGTAAAAGAGAAGTTAAAACGTCTAGAGAGGTCTAAGATCTGTAGCAACACAGATCGCAACTCCCAAGGCGACTTCTGCTCCCCTTTATACCAGTTAATGACATTCAAGGAATTACCTTCAATAATACAGTAAGGTCTCAAATTTCTCACCACAAAAAATCACAACTATGTAAAAATGCATAACGTTCGGCATAATTTGCAATTCTCTCTCCAAGACGGTCTGCATACGTAAAAACTATATCTCCAGACCAATCTCTAACCACACCTCCGAAGCCAGCTAGACCAGACATCCTTAGCGAGCTGCCATCAAAGTTGAGCTTGAAGACCCCAATAACGGGGTCACCCACCTTCCTTTAGGTTTACATTTAATAAAACCAATCTGGAAAAGATTCGGAAGATTTCTCCTAACATCCACTTTCGATATATCTTGCCAAACGTTTGTAGCCGACAGATAAAGCCAAATTGAATGTAATATTTTCTCAAAAATTCTCTCAAAGGGCAAGCTTATCCCATCGAATACTCTCATGTTTCTCTCTTTCCATACCTCTCGTAAAATCACACCTCTCGTGATTTGCCAAATTACCTAGCCTGTTTCTGGTAAAAAACCAAGCTCCAGATTGACGAGAACTCCCTCAACTTTTGAAGGCATTACTATCGTAATCCCAAGTTGAGCAAAAAACCAGCTCCATATGCGGTAAGCAAAATGGCTAACAGGGGTGAACACTCAAAAGCCAAGCTTAATTACAATTTAAAAAATTAGAAAAAAACCCTGAAATTAGGCGCAAATGACCAAAATATCCTTGAAATCTTTTGCATGAATGACGAAACCATCCTTGCATGCAGGTTGCTCCACCATGGCAAGATCTTGGAAGCTTGTTCCACAACTTGTGGCAATGGTTCAGCTGTTTCAGCAACATATCTTTAATGTCCTCTCGATTGTGAGCATTTTGATGCCATTGAATCATGCAGTGATGGCCTCTTCTGTCGTGGTAAAAGTCCAGCTAGATTTGTGAACTTCGTATTCCATGCTTCTTGAAGCTGCATTGTTCCGGTTCCTGGCTCTGCTTGCAAGTCAGAGAGGAGGTTGTCACAGTCGTTTTGCTTTAAGTTTGGGCTGATTTGGTCTTGGTTCGTGCATTTGCCTAATTTGGAAGGTTTCCAGAGAAAGGGATTACGACAACCGACATGACTCACTTCTCTAGTGACCTGGGGACTTGCATTCATCGAACCTTGGATTGAATGCAAGAGTTGCACCAGTGTGTAGCTCTTTGCGATGTGGTTGCATTGAACTCGTCTTCGTGGTGATCTAAGGTTTGGATGTCGATCTATGTTTCATGGATTCCGAGGCTTCTTCTCCTTGAACCTGGTTCTTCCTCTGGTTCTGTGGACACCTTCTTCCTTGGAGCACTGTGGATCCCGGTCACGCTACAGTGTGTGCCGTGAGTCAAAATGACAGGGCTAACGTTATCTAGAACATATAAACTTTTGATCTTTCTCCTATTTTAGAGGAAGGTGCTGTGGGCTGGCGAAGCTGCTGCCGAAAGGCATTGTTACAGTCCCCATTTCTGAGGACTGGTTTTGT